TACCAGCATTTCTTCCACTCCACTTGTTATTTTGCAGCGATCACCCATTATGATGGTAAGGTACGATTGACCATTTGGTTACAAATTGACGCTCTGTTATCGCCACTCAATAAGATATGGAATTCAGTGCGATTTCCTCTAGAAAGTCAAAAACTCAGGTTGGAAATGGTGTCAGTGCGAATTTTATTTTGCACAGCCTTCGAAAATTATGTTTCATTAATCGTTATATTTATTCGTTTATTCATCCTGACGGTTTACCGTCTCATCGTGGTTGGGAGGTGTTCCTGGGTGCCGGACTGCGATATGCAGCGGCGAGATTCGTCCCCTGGCAGGGTCTCCCAAGTTGGGAAGTAGTTCATCGTTTCCATTAGAAAACCTATCTAATAGTAAACCAATACCGGGATCCACTACCGTCCTGGTATCAAGCTGGTCGCATGGTGGCAAATTTCCCTCTGATCCACAAAGGATGTGACTGGTTATGGTGGTGAAGACCTGAGGCAGACTTTGGCCAGGTTAACCTCGGGATTCCAAGGAACCACAATAGCTTGGCCAGCAAATCTCTGAAAAAACCCGCATAGTCAGTGGAGATAGGCCATTCATGTATCCAAGTAAGTATTCGTTTATTCGTTAACTTTATTTCATAAATTAAACGATTTCACTCGATATATCATTTGGTATTTTCGAGCCACCGATCTTTACCAGAGATCCAGGCGTTATCAACCAGTGGACTTAAAACCTCCACCAGCTTATCATTTTATCAGCTTATTGTTTTTACACCACAGAAGTATAAAAAGCCACTCAGCAAACGTGGTTAATTGTTCATTTATTCCACGTAGAGATGGCAAAGGAGGCCGTTTACTCAGCGATGAAAGGCATGGGTATTTTTGATCCCTCACGATTGCGTTGTGTAGCGGTACTCTTGAATAGGAGCTATTTCTAAAAGAGGAAAGGTAACGTTTTCGAGGACGCTGCAATACGGGCCAGTCGTTAGTTTGATACGTTGTCACTTCGATTTATTGCAAAATGTTTACTATTTTAATTGCGCATTTTTCTGAGCGGGAAAATCTTCCAAGCCTTCCAGCACTGTATTTGGTGCTGTCAAAAGCCTTACCTTCTAACATTATATAAGGGACACTACTCGCCTCGAGTTTGGTAGAAAATCACCGGGAGTTTACAAGGTGGTAAACAGCAACGAGATTTCATGACACTTCCAATAATCATTCAGCTCTTACAATACATTCGCTGTAGTTCGAATGAAAAACGGTTTTCTGGCAGTGGTGAGAACATCTGCTTTCGTCGAAAACTGAAAATCGATCAGCTGTCCATCGAAGATTCGCCAATTACAAAACCAAGATAATTGCACTCCGACGCCCAGACGGAACAGTTACAGCATCCAGGAAAGCAATGGAGAAAATAATTCACGATTACTACTCGGATCTCTACAACATCTAAGTCTTACTGCCCTCATATGAAATAAAGGAGAATGGATATGTCGTACGACCTCCCGAATTCGTTCTTCTTTGTCGTTCTCCCTTCCGAAATCCGACATGCTGTTTCGTCGGTGAAAAATCGAACAGCACCAAGTTGGGAGAGGATAAGATCTGAACACCTGAAGAATCCACCGCCAGCCCTCGTAAACACACTGACTCGGCTCATAACACGTTAAGTATCTGAATTCAAGGTCCCTACTCAGTGGAAGTCCAGCTAGGCCGGGCTATTGTTCAAAAAGGGTGACCTCCACGATATCGGCAACTATCGCCCAATTTGCTTGCTGGTCTGTCGTCTACAAAGTTTTCACTCGATTCATCCTAAACAGGGTTGACAGAACACTGGACGAAGGACAGTCATGTGAACAGGCAACGTTTCGAAAAGCATTTCGTAGGATGGACTACATCGACACGGTTACAAGACTCATTGAAATATCGCAGGAGTATAACAGACCGCTTTATCTCACTTTTAAAGACTTGCAGGTTTTTGACGCAATTGAGATAGAAGCAGTCATGGAAGCCCTTGATAGTCTGGGAGTCCCTACTCAGCACATAAAGATTCTTCGTGAGCTGTGCAAAAATTTCTTAACCAAAGTATCACCGTTCTACAATGATATTCACATCGACGTCAAAAGAGAGGTTAGGCAAGACAATACCATCTCGCCAAAATCATTTACCGCCACCCTCCAGAACGTCATGGGAACATTGGAATGGGATAATATGGGAGTGAAAATCGACGGTCGACAGTTACACCATCTTTGCCTTGCTGATGAGATCGTCCTTATAACATCAAATATTAGCCAGACGGAACGAATGCTTGCCAACTACGATAAGGCCTGTGGAAAAGTTGGTCTTCGACTAAATCTCGCAAAAACGGTGTTCATGAAGAACGGATTGGTTTCTTATGCCCATTCACGCTCAACGGAACAAATATCTCCAAACGCTCCAGTTACGTCTGTCCAGGTCTGGAAATCAACATAACGAGCGACTTAGCTTCAGAGTTGGGCAGAACGGAACGAGCGGCTTGGCGAGCTTACAGCATCGTGGATGTAGCGAAGAGAACAAAGAACACCCGAGGACGTGCCCATCTTTTCGACTCAACGGTACTTAATGCTTTATCCTAAGCGTCAGAAACCTGATCGCTGCGTAAACAGGATGAAAGATCACTCAGCGTTGTTGAACGCACAGTGGAAAGGACGACAACAGGATAACTCGTGCGACACGAGTGAGGAGAAGCGTCGAAATCTCCGATCTACGTTAACGATCGAAAGTCAAAGACGCTGTCTATATGCAAAACTTTCGATAATAAGGCGCGCCGGACGCGCAATGCGCATGAATGGCAACCGTTGGATAAGAGCCGTTAGTGACTGGATTCCTCGGGATGTCAAACGTACTGCAGGAGGACCACCGACCCGATGGTCAGAGTTCTTCACGAAGAGCCTAGAAGAAAGATATGATGAGTCCCTAAAGCGAGCAGAACCCACTGGGATGCTCTTGCACGAGATATGGAAAAATGGAAAATGTACTGGCGTCCGCTCAAATCACTCGGCGATCAGCGGGACTACAGGTGACACAGATGATGCAGTGAGTGCGAAGCAGATAAACGAGCTACCTACAATAGGCAGTAGAAAAATTGAAATTTGCTGCGCAGAAATAAAGTATTCGTTGACTAGTGGATGGAATTCGTGGTTCAAGTTTCTTTTTATTAAGGTGCCAAGAATGACAATGCGAAACCACTACAAACGGACACACCGAAGAAGAAGGGTAAGTGCCTTTCGTCAACAGGTCTTCCATGTCTTATAGAAACGTTGCACATTTAAAAAGAACAAGACCTGTCCTAAGGTTCCGTTGACTGCAGCGACAACATTAGCACTGAAAGCTGGAGGGCTAATCCTCGATTGGTGGCGCTCTGCTGTAGTGCTTCTGGTTTGATCGACGTCCTTTTCATTGCCCCAACTAAGACACAATGCAACCTTGAGGAAGAGGTGGGGGGGGGGGGCTTATTTTCTTCTGCTGTATTAAAGTTCTTGCCCGAAAAGTTTTATGTGTTTTTGAACTACTTTTTATGCGAACGAAGTTTCTTATGGAAGAAAACTGTGGTTTAATCTTGCCTTGACGTTTCTCTCGCCATATTGAAATGTGTGAACATGGGATTATGAAGCTAATGATCCTAAACTGGATAAAACTTTAATCTCTTTCAAAAAGCTTTAAGTGTAATGAAAAATACAAGAAACCATGGAGGAATTTCCGCTAGCTTTCCCATAAATGCCTTGCGCTATTCTTTGCCACCAGATCACAGAACAAGGTTTATGAAGTCAAAACAGATTGCTTGTCCTAACGGGAGCGGATAGCAAAGTGGTAGTGATGCCCATCATCACGAGCATGGCGTTATCTAGATTCCACACTGGACCAACCAAGCCTCTCGTCTCTCCGGGTTCGGGAAATTGGTACCGGACCCTGTCCGGGAAAAAGATCACCTTTTCAATCCAATTGAGAACGCCCCAATTCGGATGTCTCAGGACTCTAGGGAGAATTGGTCGACTATCATTCCACACTATCATTCCACGGCATTCAAGATGAAATGGAAATCCTCAAGGAGCAACCGAAGCCACACGTAAAGTTTGAAGAACTTTGTGGACAATGGATGCGAGGAAACGGATCGAACGTGAAAAGTGATGGGATCCACACAGTAGACGTGAAGAAGGATCAAAAAAAAATAAACAAAAATGAAACAAATTGCTTCACTCAGGAACACTTGAGGGAAAAAAGCTCTTTGGCCTAGGAAAAGATTAGTGATTAGGTTGAGCCACTTGGTCTTACTTTCTCCCCAGTTGTCACTTTCCTATATGCTTCGTCTAAATCTCCATAAAATGTGGTTAATGAGAAAAATATTTATTAGTGTTCCAGAAAAAAAGCACCACTCCGTATATCATCCTCTAAAGAGAGAAACGGATATGGGTCTAGCATGTGAGTGCGTTGCTACACAAATTAAAACTTCTTCCATCCAGTTCTGTTCAATTTCATCATTTTTTCATAACTGAAATCTCTAATAAAGTGACTATAGCATTCCAGGTTAACTTATGCTTTGTAGGTTAGATTTTAAGCGCGGTGTTATTTGTTCAACTATTTCGTTTAGTTCCTGGCTACTCAAGAAGTGGCAGTGCAGATAGCGCAAACGATTACAAGAAGAGTAAGAAGCTTGAAAGAACTTTTAACGGAAAGAGGGAAGCTCTGCTACACGTTTCGTAGAGCTTCACGCTATTCCACAAATTGTGAACGGTTTTTGTATTAGCATTGTGCTTGAGGTGTGAACAATTCTTAACAGTAAGAGGTCACTGCCAGTCGTACTAGGATCGTCAAAAGCTGTACTAGTTTCCGCTTTTTTGAGTCTTCCAGGGATGTGACATTCTCGTAATATATAGATGCAAGACTCCATTACCAGCTAAAAGTCGCAGAATACAGGGCAAATTTCGTTCAGAATCCCTTTCGGATGATTACAAACGACGATCCTACATGGAGACGGAGAAGTACCATGATGGAGAAGAAGATATGGGGAAATTCTCACCCGAGTGAGTTTGTTAAGCTGTTACTTCCTCGTTGTATTAAACAAGGTGCGTAGCGTTTCTGAACCCGCAAAATTTCTATAGACCGATAATCATATCCCTCCTAAAAGCAGCTGAGGGACAAAACGATTTCCAACTTCGTCTTTGGCCAAAATTGAGTGCTTTGCGCCCTTGCAATGAGTTTTCTTCTCAGATGTTACCTGCTATCCTTCATCACAACGTGCGGAATCATTGTAATATTGCTGATGTTATATAGCATTCTGCATTCTATGCCTTACCCTGATGAGAAGGTAAATTGTGCAAGGATATTGTCAAATTTAGAATTTACGATACAAAATAGTTTTAGAATAACCGTTGTGTTCTTTAGCATACTATTCCGCGTTACTTCTCTCTTGAACGAAGGCACAAAGTTTTCGTTGCGATGACAGAAAACCTCGATTGTTCGCTGTACATGAAGTGAGTTATCATGCAGTCACAACGTTTAAATCATTCATTCATTTAACAAATCACCTGCACACCTTTAAACTTTGACTGGGCCGAGTATTCGACGGCAAAACGTCTAGCTTTCATGACCGCGTGTCAACGTTTTTCTGTGGGTTCTGCCCACTCGATGGTCATAGAGGGCCCCATTTGTTCCTCCTAGCGACTTCAGGAAAAAATCGCACGTATCTAACATTTCTTGAAATTCTGTCACCACTGGTTCATTATCACCTATTGAGATGCACCACCTGAACGGTCCACTCGATTTTCGGTATCGCAGCCAATTCGGCTACGTCTTTTTCCTTGGTCGTCGTCGTAGCCCAGGCTTGCTTGATACAGGATACACCTAGTTTCGATATCTGGATAACTCTAGGTGATTTCTCATTCTGCTTACCTGCAAGTTTTCTAGTTATGAATGGCATGCAACTTTACGTTGTGTAAACTGATACACACGGAAGAAGCTGGGTGTTCTCGATCTTTCACATAACCACTCAAAAAGCAGTACTTAAATACCGCTAGCCAAAAGCCGAAAATCAAAAGAGCAGCACCAAGAAGACAGGACAAGTTATTTTCTATATGCAGCAAAGACTAACAATGAGGACCTCTTGATAAAAATAAGCTAGGAAGCTTAACAATGACGCTATGAGACGAAAAAACACAGCACTGAACAGCTAGACAGTGTTGGTTAGGAAATGCGAATGTAGAGGGGTTCCAGCAACGCAAGTTGCGTGGCAGCTGCTTGCTATAGGGTCACGATCAACCATTTTAACAACCAACATGTGTTTTCCAACATATTACGTCAACCATTTTTCACTGAACTACTTATCCACCACATTCCTAAAAGTGTTAACAAAGCACATAACGGGAAGCTTCAACTCGAGGAAGTAAGATTCCGGTTCAGTGTGACGGATTGTATCATATCGTACGGTTATGAAATTCACTGCGCAAAAGAAAATGCCACCATATCCTATTTTCATAAATGGAAGCAGCCATATCAGAGCGTCAAATAAAGACATACGCGATAAGCCAGGATGCCATGGCCACGCCAGATGACGACTAACTTATTGGTCGCAATTTTAATTGCTCTTGATGACTATCGAAAGTGGAAACTCTATTCCAAAGTACATTTAACGAAGTTATAAGCTACTTATGTCATAAGTATGTCATAAGAGAATCAGTGAGAGTAGAGCTAACAGGTGGTGAATACTGAGCTGCAGTATGTGAGAATTGCAATTCCTCGAAAATGTTGATTACGCCTGGGAAGAGTGTTTAAGCAGGGGATTAAAACACTCTGAACTAATAGACCTGAGACAACTCATCATAGTGTGTCATTTTGGTCTCGTGAAGTAGTCAGTGAAAGCTTCACAGTGTGCTTTCCGTCATTCGTTCTATATTTCTCGGTTTTGCGCCTTTTATTCTACTATAAGGGACGCGTGTGGTGCAGTGTTCGGAGGCGCCCTGCAGCATGCACGTGAGATCGATGCCCGCGCCCAGGGCCCACCAAGCTTTCCATCCCTCCGAGATCGATAGATTGGCACCAGAATTGGATACCAGATCTGGGAGGATAGCAGTACTATCTCGATACATAGGTAGAGCGCCACGAGTCGTTGTAAAGGCTAGATATGCATTCAATTACCTCCAAATGGTGCTTAATGAAGTTGAATGCATGGCGCATCTTTTAGAGATTGATCAACGCCCTTTATCCCTTCTTATTTTTTTATTCCATTATAGGAGGAAAACGAGGAATATGATGTTAACCCATAACGTCTAAAAGAAAATGAAAATCTGCGAATGGAGGAATTGTTTAGGCGTTATCAGTGAAGAACATATGAACCTTAAAGTTCAAGAAAAGAAAGAATGATTCTCCAACGCCAAAGAATTTTTCATTATCAGTTATATGTATTTGGAAACCTATAGGGTACGAGTTTCCTAACTGATAGGACAATCCAGCAACTCCGTATTTCAGGAATCTTGCTGCGAAGGGGAAGCTAAGCATGCAAGCAGTAATGCGTAGCGGTATTATGTGCATTTCTTCGGTGGTTCCATATTCAGCTGCAGGAATGTTCTCGACGTTTTCGATGATGACCTTTCGTCAGATGTCGCCGGATGGCCTGGTCTGTTTTCACTATTCATGTGAAGAGTTCCGCAGTCACGGGTAGAACCTTTGTATTCAGGTCAGAAGCGCAGCATTCAAAGGAATAAAGGAATTTGCTAACACAAACCAGAATGTAGACCGAAATAAAAATTACACCTTTGAGTTAGTCTTTTATGAATTCTTCAATACAGTCGTATCAGTCTTCACATGAGAGGGAGGACAGCTTTTGCTACACTTTTTATTCAGTCGATGTCTTCCTCATCATGGGTCCTATGCCAAGTGTAGTCTATTGGCTACACTTGGTAATTGAAAACCTACTTGTCTTTTCTTTGACGAGTTCATTGGTCAGGTTCACCAGTCCAGAGACCTACTGATGCGAAGGGTACTAAAGCCTCTACACTCCTGAGTACTAAGACCTCTACACTGCTGACGTATAAGTGCTTGAGCCTCGGGTTGATGAAGTGACACAGAAGAATTATTGTTTTTTGGAGAACTATGTAGCAGAAACCAATTGGCTACCATGACATGCAGCAAAAGCGGAAGTTTTGCCTGGTAAGTGGGGTGAGAAGACCTCGAAGTAAAATCGGTGGCGTTTGGAGAGTACCATGTGACTTGTACAAGTCCTGTTCGAATAATTTCAGACAATATGAAGAATTTCGGAACTCTTATTTACGTTTGGAGGATGGTACTCAAAATATACAACTACATGAATACTGGGTTGAAAATACTTCAAGCATTCATATTAAAGACTTGTTGAATGAGTGGAAACGCATGACTTCCGTGAGCTTCTTCATTGCTAGTACGTCTTTTCGATTTTACTAGATGACATCGACTGCTCATGAATTATCGAACTGTGGGTAACTATTCGGAAAATTAATTAACTCGCTGAGAGACAGGAGAAACGAAAGACCTGCATGGTGAGGTGGTGAACGCGTTACTCCCCGTAAAGGACAATAACGCGTTCGTTTCTCACCGCAGACACGTGCGGTCTGGAGTTTTGCACATATCTCAGCATCATTGTGATTGTATTCGAAAAATGTTTGAAGACTTCGAAATGAGGGAATCGAAATGAGAGAAAAAACGATTGGTCGTTACTTTTCTTGGTCTATCATCATAGAAATTTTTTTCGTTTACCATGAGTCAGACAGTGATACACGTTTTTTGTCTTCTATTGATCATTGAGACGAAATTTTCTCATTAAACTGTCAGAAATCCGGACATTCGCTTCTGAACAGACGTGATGCAGGGTGGCAATACTTCAAGTGTGCGGCGAATCCGGGTGAGCGCCTCGCTAGCCAACTGGCTTAGTCGCACCAACACGTCCGATAAGCGCTCATGGATGGAGAGCGTTGGTTTGGTGTGAGTTTGAATTAGCATCGCGAAGCCACGAACGAGCCAGCCAGCGGTGGTGACACCAGAAAGTGCCGTGGCAAAAACAACAAAGTGCTTTGTTTCTTTCTTTTTTTGCTATAATATAATATACGCTATACTTTGGACTTCGTGACAATTCCTCTATTCCAGCTTGATACTCCAGTTTCATAATAAGCTTCTACCTACTTTTTCCAAACACCATGATAAAGTTGCTTTTAGTGACACCAAAAGTTACACAGAACAAGTGATACAGCTTCCCGTAATGGACGCTAAAAGTCTTCCTACTTCAATTTCTAAGAAACGTAAGTAGAATAGAAGCAATCAATCAATTTCCTCTTCTGCTTTTATTATGAACAACTTCACTGTTTAGCATTTTCCACAGGTAAGCTCTTTTTCTGGAATAGTTCCAAATGCAAGGCACTCTCGAAAAAAGCGAGCCGATATGCTGGGATGAATGAATGAACTCATCATTTCTGTGGAAAACGCCAAACAGTGAAGTTGTGTGGCGCGTGTGGCACAGTGCTCGGAGGCGCCCTTCAACACACACGTGGAATCAATCTCCGCGCCCACTACCCATCAAGCCTTCCATCGCTCCGGGGTCGGCAAATTGGTACCAGGCTTTTCTGGGAGGATAGCAGCACTGGTTCAATATAACGGTAGGCCTCCACGAGTAAAGGTCATATATGCATTCAGCCATCTCCAACGGTGCTTAATGAAGTCGAATGCATGGCGCATCCCTCACGGATTGATCAATGCCGAGAGCTTTATCCTTTTTTATGTATGGTGGGATAGGTGATGATGCATAGTGTTGTGCTGATCGTCCTCACTTGCCGATCGCATACCACAGCACAAGACCGAAATGAAGCAACATAACGGAACATGGCGTTCTTCTTGTTTCTCGATAACAACTAGTTTGTTTTTCAGCATTAGACTTTATTTCGGTGAGATACGCGTATTTGCATCCCGAACGGAAAGAATACTTCGTCACCTTCTTCTTCTACCGTTACGTGGGAACGATGATTCCACGCACCTCCCCTAATTTGGAGACGTCGTCGATTTTTTCAGCGTTTATATTATCGCTCATAACAAGTAAGTATCACATATGCAGTAATCTTCAACCGAAACAATTTCTTCATTTTCAGAAATTTTGAAACCCGAACTACTCCAGATGCTTCCACCGGTTGAAAAAGAAGCGTACATAATGCACCTAATGCTGGGATCGCAACAAGTCGCCTATGAACTTTTACCACAAACGCACGAATGGGATGGAAGTGATAGTAAGGTGTGCACTGTCTGTTTCGAACACTAGACAGTTTCTCTTCTAATGAAGCTGTTTTATGTTTGGATTAATTCACCTACTCGCGAACCTCCACCGATGTCCTTCATCGAGGGAGTCCAGCCAGTTATTCATGAGTGGAACGTCGCAAGTTAGTTTATGTAGTGGAAGGGTGAATTCGGTGAACATGCCAACCTGTACTGGGTTGCTGCCAAAATTCCAACGGGTTTTGAACAGTATATTTAAAACGCAACAACGCGGTTCAAGCACGGCTTCTTAAAATCAAATTCGAAACCATTAGAACCGACCAGTTTTTACAATTATGACACACACGCGAATTTCGGGAATCGACGAATTCTTTGCAAACGTTTCACGTCGTCTTTCACGTCGTCGTTTTTTTTTCGTCGTCTTTCAAACGTCGTCGTCGTCAAGGAGATCGTTTCTTGCCCTTTTTCACGTCTAAAACAATTTTTGAAGGGTTTGAAAAACTGCTGGGCAGTTTGCGATAGGACCGATGACCATGCTCGATGATACCAGGTTTCGTAGCCTAGTCGCTAAAAGTCGATAGCATTAGTTGTCCAACGTACGGTCAATCGTTGTTTTGTGAAAAAACTGGTCTTTTCTTTTATCAGTACGGAGTAGAAGCGCTGTGATTTTCCACACATCTCGTTGACTTCGCGGTCGTTTTACGACGATTCGGAAGCAGAAGTGAAATAATTAACCATTGAACAGTCAACACCACCTTCTTTTGTAGTCTATTCGTCCTGAGGAAAACTTTGAACCTTCATTTTCGTCCGCCTACACCCGGACCCTCGTCGACTGTCGTACGTGGTCCTCTATCATCTCACATCTCATTAAAATAAATCTCGTTTTTACACAGCACGAGCTCTGAGTAGAATTCTTAATTGCTATTGTTAAATGGTTAACTCAATTGTTAAATTGTTGGAACGGGCAAAATACACCTAAAATCTCCAGGCTATTCTTGAATGCTTAAGTCTTTGAAAGATTGAAAGAAGATTGAGAAAAAAAAGCCTTGATGATAAATTATAAGAACACTAAGTTCGGCGTCATCAGACTGGTCGAGACGAGAAGATACGGACTATTATTGCACACATCGCAAAATCAAGGTATGACAAAAGCGTGATGAATTTCTACAGGAATAATTGTGCTGTCTGCACGGCCATCAATGAGAATTAAACGTCAAGATTATTTCAGAAAAAAAGCATCTGAGGAGCTTTCTATAAAGATATACGGAATAAACTGGAGCGGACATGACGTAAAGGCCGGCTTGTATTTAGATCACTCCACTAAGTGCTGCTGAAAGAAGGATCTGCATAGCATATCTTCAATTTTAGATAATTAAACGTAAGCAGCGAGTTAGTAGAGGACACTTTCGATAAATGTAAATAGGCTAGAAAGAATGGTGATTAAGATTAACAACTAACGTTTATAAGAAACGGAGGGCAACTCTTCTAACACATTGATGATGAGTACATCGGGTGCAATACCATAGGAGGCTTCCACTCTCCTGTACGAAGCAGTCGATTAAGTCAATATTAGCTTTGCATCTCCCAGTTCGTTTCCATATCCTCTGCATCCTCATAATACATGAGGCGCATTTAGTGCAGTGGTTAGAGACATGGTCGTTGGTTCGATCTTACGTCATGGGCGCATCAAGTCTTCCGTCCCGGCGAGGTCGGAAAATTTTGCTACACTTATTTTAAAGGATAGCCGCACTGACTTGATACATCGGCAGGGCTTTCCAAGTCAAACACTGAATGGTCCTTCGTTCTGCCGACGTCACGACTACGTCTTCGATGCCCGTTAAGCCCATCAAGGAAAGAGGTATCATGAAGCCGAATGCTTCTATTACGATTTCTTAGATGTTCTTCTTAGTAAGCTGATTCCTTTCTCATTGTCAACTCAGGAGCTATATCGACCATTATGTTGGTTTCTTTTTCGAAATATGCGCAGCTTGAGCATTCGGAGATATTCCTTCCGTTAAACGGAAACCTGGTGGACTGGTTTCCTATGCCCGTTTTTCCGGCGTAGGAAACCAGTGAATTCCTCGTGAACATCGTTTTTGTGAGATCCACCCAAAGAACAATCTTTCCACGAACGTTGTCAAGGTCGGCAGCCATTCGTTCGCCTAGTTAATGCTTGGTGTTATGAGAACGGTACTTACTTGGACACTTCGCCGGATCGCCTTCACAAGTTGTGCGAACTCCAGCACATTCTCCACCGTTTCCTTGCTTGACAATCGTTATCCGTGGTGGTGATTTGTTTCAAACATAGAGGCGGGTGCGAGTCTCATACCGTGATCTGTAAAACAATTGCAAAAGCGAGTACGGCAACTTGACCCTAGTTACAAACACGTCCACCCCAACGTGTAGATGGACGTCATGAAGGACACTTGCATCCTTGTCGAGTACACTCTATAGTTCTTTTCGTCCACCTGTCGTCTGTTTTTCTCATTATACGAACTACCTATTATTACATGAAAGAACGCGTGCTAAGCAGTGGTGAGAGGCGCTCTGCAACAGACACATCGGATCGTTTCAAGCGCCAGTGGCTCTCCAAGCTCTCCATCCCTCCGAGGTCGGCAGATTGGTAGCATATTCTTCTGGGAGGATAGCAACGCTGACTCGATACTTCCGTAGGCCACTGCGAGTCATTATATAAGCCAGATATGTCACCTCTAACGATACTTGGTCAGGTTGATTGCATGGCGCATCCCTCATGGGTTGATCAACACCGAGAGCTTCTTTTATGATCTTCCTACCTATGTTTCGCTGTCGATGTGTGTTTTCCTAGGTGTCGAAGAAGAGATAGATTTCGAAGATCAGAGCTTTGCATTACGCCTAAATATTATGTGTCCGGTTATATTTCAGAAGATATCCTACAAGCGCTCTGTGGGTGGTGTGCTACTGCACACGTGGTTGAACTATAAGCCCATATAAGTGCCGCGTAATAGAGCGCAGGAGGTTCTTGAATCGAAAGGTGAGGGCGGATTCCCAGGCCCTTTAGTTGATCAGCAGCCTAATTGAGTGGCCCGAATGCCGCCTAGGCTGCTTCGCTTTCTTCTGCCTAATTCTTCCTTCATGTTATTCTCTATGCTCATTGATCGTTGAAGGCATGCGTGCGAGATTGTCTCTGAAATCAGAGAAATATAGTTTAGTCTCTTCGCCTTCGCACCATGGGTTTTTCGTGAACTGGGTGTTGTTTCGATTTATGCGTAGGCCGATCTTTTTTCCCGCACCGTTGAGCTCATTCGTCATTCGCTTGATCTTCTTCTCATCTTCGTCGGCACTTCTTGAGAAGTTGGCGATGTCATTGGCGAAATGAAGGTTTGATAAGAATTTTCCATCAATACGAGACGCTTTCTCATGCCAATCGGGTTACTGCGTCATCCATTGCAGTGCAGCCCTAAAAGCTTTGGTAATAATGTGTCGCCTTGTGGTATCCCTTTTCTTATGGGTATGGCAAGAGGTCGGTGGAAAAGCTGCATTTTCGTAGTGCGGCTCCGATAACAGTTTAACCGAAACCTTAACGCTGTCGAACGCGTTTTCACGATCAACAAGCGCTAAGACTAAGTGCAGGTGGTATTTCCGACAAACTTAAACGACCCTGAACAGTGTTTGGGTGTGATCTATGTAGAAGAAATTTCTATCGAAATCCTATCAACAAGTCTATCGAGCGATATTTGCGAAGATTTCTTCGGTCACCTTTCTTGGTAGGATGATCGTGCGAGATGTCCTCCACTTGGCTGCCAATTTTTCCCTTTGAGGGTAAAATTCCATACAGGCTGAGAAAAGTAAATGCGAGTTGTGGATTCTAGCACTAAGAAAATTAGGGGTGATATAATCGGGTTTTTGAAGCTACGTCTTTTTTTCATGCTTTCTATCGTAACTCGAACCTCAGAAGTAAGGATTCCAGATGGTTTTAGGAAAGGTTAGTCTAGAAAGTCTAGAACTTTTCCGTCACCAAGCCCACCGGAGGTTCTGATGATCTCATTATCGCTCATCAGGAATGGCAGCAGAACGTTATGCTCGCAGAAGTCTCCATGGCATTTCTTCAGACTGGTTCCTTTTTGTGTTACTTCTAACAATCTCTTACACATGTATCTATGTAGATCACCCTGCAAAACTCTTCTTCAGTTGGCGTTGCCGCGTTGTGTGTGTTGCATTAGGATCAAACCTCATCTTCCTTCTCTTCTCGAGAAACTCCTTAGTGGTAATGGAGACGTCCCTGGAGTGCTCAGTTAACCTTACAAGGGTATTTCAAGTCTCCACCACGATGTGGCTCTGACGGAAGTGTCTTCTCACCAACGATTCTTTTTTTCGGTCCTCGTACTAGTTGATTCGGACACGATTAAAACCGAAATCAAAAATGAAAGCAGGAATGGGAAGATGACCGGCCGCTTAAGAACAATGTAGGATTCGAAGTCCTATATGAACGACATTGTCAGTAAAGTGAAGACTATGTGATTGCCGACCATCGGTTTTTACTTCCATGTTGTCCCATTGCTTTCTTTGCATGACGTTCTCAGGTATAGCCATAAATAATTTTGGCAGGATTACATGTTTTGTCGAACTCCTCTCTTCACGTCAATGTTAATGTCGTTAAGGAATGATGTGATATCTTCGCTTTGAATTTCGTATATAGCTCATGAAGGATATTAATGAACTACACAGCGACGCTCTCTACCTGTCGACAGGTTCTGTGGATCATACGATTCCACCATGGCGTATCAGCTCGTGTTTTTGGAGACAGGCATCTCTTGGTGACTTTCGAACTCTCGATTTTCATAACGCTAGTGTGATGTTGAATAAGCTGGTCGTATTCTTCACCGATGTTCTCCATAACAGAGTCTTTCGAAAAGCAGAATAGGGACATGAATAGGTGCTAAATCGCAGTGCTTTTAGGATTTCTTTCTAGAAATATGCGGCTTTCTTTCTCTCTGCTAGAAAAGGATGTTGCGAGAAGGAGGTAGTGGTCCGATTCCGTGCATGCTATTTTTTATGACAACACCAATACTGGTTATGCGAAACTTTCGACTTACTACGATGCGGTTTGTCTCTTTATGGTATTCTCTATTGGGAGATTCTCAAATTCGAAGCTGAGTGAGTTTTCTGGAATTTTCAGTTAGCATGGATGGTCTTGGTCTTTTAATAAGTTTAGACAGACACTCGCCTTGTTCGCTCCGTTATCCATAAGTCTCAATGTAACGTCTTTCTGTTCTCCTG